CCCCCCCCCCCCGTCGTCGCGGTCGACACTTTAAACTGGGTCTGACGCGATCTCCCACGTCATCGTCGCGCGGAATGACGTACACTTCAGATGTCCGTTTCTCGACGTTTCTCTCTCCATCTCTCGGTAACATCTCCGCCCGACTCCTTCGCGCCCGTAATCGCATTAGCCGCATGCCCGTCGTCGTCGTATCGAAACGGAACTTTATATACACCGGGCTTCGTTTCCGCGATTCGTTACGGCGTTTCCGGGCTTCGTTACGGCGTTACGAGCGGCTCCTTATTAATTCTAATCTGTCGCGCGCAAGTCGCGCGCGTAACAGACATTCGTTCGAATTCCCTGATGAACGGGCGCATTTCGCACGCTTATCCGCGCAGCGGATCGCGCTCCCGGTTTTACGCAAGTGACGCACGCACGCACACTGGGATACCGGCAGCTGCAAAAACAAGTCTCGGGTCTGTCTTTCTCTCTCACGCGGAGAAGTCCTGGCAAACTCGGCGAAGAGATCCCCGCCGCCTTATCGCAGCCGGCATAATGCGGCGGTGTTCCGGCCGAGCTACCACGCGGAATATCGTGGAATCGTGAATGTATGCGTCGGCGTTATGACATAATTATATGTTCGCGACGGCAAAACAGAACGGCGCTCTTGTACAGAGCGGGGCTGCTGCTGCATCATACTTGCGGGTCGGGTCAATGGTCTGTGAATCGCCCGGCAAGATAGGCGAGCCCGCAATAGTCGTTTCGCAACGGTTACATCGCCGCGTTGCACTTCGTGACACACGCGGTACACCGCGTCGACTATCCGTCGACGATCGCGGGATCCGATGGTAGCGTTTTTGAGGGTACGTGAGATCGAAACGAAACTGCGTCGGGCGCGCGAACGATTGTTTCAGAAATTGTCGGGGAAGTGGCCGCGGCAAGTACGTGACGATGACGCGCAGCCGGAGGAAGCGTTTCCGTCGCGTTGCGTCACGAACGCACGTAAGCGAGAGAGCGGCGATGAAATGTTATTTTATTCAGGCTCTCCGGATAGATCCGGCCGCGTGGCAAAATTTGCCGCAGCTGACTTCGGGTGCCCCGGTCCGATTTCTCGGAATATTCGAAAATCTAGTTGGGAAATCAATAGTGAAAAAAATGCGATCGTACAAATATTCACTTGAGGTCCAAGTTAAATTGTTACATCAATATCCCTCGGTAAATATTTGTTGGAAGTGGAGATATAATTGACGATATACGACGTGACACTTCCTTCGTACAAGCAGACATTTACTTGTACGCGTTGAAGCAATTACGTCGAATATTACATTGATAATATTGAGAATATCCGAATTTATTTGTAGAAAATATTTACCGGGGGGGGGGGGGATTTTNCGATTAGGCTCTCATCGGAAAGAGGTGTCGCATAATTCCCACAAAAACTTTCTTAAATCGAGAAACATTTTACACACTTATTCATTAATTTATTATTATAATCGGAGTCTATGCGATATCCGGATGGGAAATCTGGGAAAATTCCAATGCGGGCGTTGTTTCCGCGACGATCATTTCGAAGGCCGAAGGCGACGACTCGCGTGTACGACACCGTTGCGGAGGAACGGCAGCAGTTTCATGGGATTCATTGTGATTTCACCGCGGACTCCCGTTGAAACGCTCTCTCTCCAGCGGCAGTTCTTTCTATCAATAATTGTACACGCCATACGTGCATCGATTCGATTGTCCTCCGCTTTAAATGACGCGACCGCTCCCCCCTCGCCCGTGCGCGATATATATTTTGTCGCGACTCGAGTGCACAATAGTCGTTCATTAGTGTGTACAAGTATCGCCGTACGATGCCGATAATAACACACCCAGCTCGATATTGCATTTCGCATCAGCTGCCGGGGAAATCGCCGTGCGTCGGTACTAACCGTATCTTTGCTTATCGTGTTTCCGGCTATTACCGGCCTCAACGCATTACCTTCCCCGGCAGCAACTGCGGCAGAAGACACCGGGGGAGACACGCGATGAAGATTATTCGTGTCTCTAAATTCTTGGAATGCTACTCGGCTCAAATAACCGGCGAGCTGTGTGTGTGTGTGTGTGTATGTGTGAGAGTGTATTACACCATCCCCGGCGAATAATACAAATAATAACAATAACTGTAGAAAATTCGCCGCGTCTGGCGCTACATCGGCGCGTCGTCTTTTCAAAACGTTACCCCGACGTTACTCCGATGGGCTTTTCATGGTAGATACCTCTCTCGAGTCCGAGTGGAGCCCCCGGAAACGGCCGAGGGCGATCGTACATTCGCAATGTAAACGTTTAACGGTCGTCTTACGTCGTTGCAGTAATTTTCGTGCGGATTAGAAATAACGTCCGCGGCGGGCGGCAAGCAATTACGGATAGAAATTATTTCACGCGCGCACGGGAAAGGGAGTGAAACAGAGACGGAGAGAGAAAGAGGGGGAGGGGAGGATCGTATCGTTCTTTTCACGGCGCAGGCAAGCGACAGGTGACCCGAGAGCGTCGTACGGTAACGGTTACGCGATGCTGGGGGGGCTAATTCCTGGCCACGCCATTTGAAAATTAAGCGCGGCGGGGAAATATTTATGGGCCACTTTACCGGATTAGCCGGGCGCGAAAGATCGCCGTCGAGCGCTTCAACGTGCGCAACGACGACGAGGATTAGACACGCCCGCTGTGGCGTGACGACGGGACGACGCCGGCGTATTTATTCGAACGAATTACGCGCGCATCGAAGCGCGCCGGGGGTTAATTGCCGCGCGGAGAGGAAGTCACGGGCTGCGGGAAGCGATCATTTTTCGGGGGGATCGCAAACCCCGGAGATTTTAATTAGTCCATATGTTGTCGCAGAAAAATTCGCAGGCCCAACGAGGAATTAGCGAAATTCTCACGACGCGAAGGAAGGAATGAATTCTGAATAATTAATTAATTAATTCCACGGGGCTGGAAAGTAACCCCCGCAGATGAGAAATTAACTGCCCATACGATACAAGTGAAATTTCGTCGATTTAGCCGATCTCTTTCGCAGCTGTGTTTTTAGCTGGCATAACTGAAGCTAGGTCTGGTAGTTAAACTTCAGTTGTGTCACATTGACGCGCAGCTGATTCCTTCTTTCCGTGGGGGACTTCCCGCCCGAACATCGACTCCTCGTTCCTTGTCCTCGCGAAAACGCGTAAATTCTCCCCCTTCGCTCGCTGTATAAAACTCGTATCTGAAATTCTATCGCGTCGTAAGCGACGGAGAGCGCTCCGCGCGAGTCGCATCCGGGGCACTCGCGAATGCGCCGTGAATCAAGCCAGAGCCGAACTCCTCTACTTTCAATTGCTAGCGGGAGATTGCCGCTTAAGATAATTAGAGCAGTTCGTCGCGAGAGCTGCGAATTCGATTTGCGGCCCGATATAGTCGATCCCCCGCAACCCTCCGTAATTTCCCACGTAACGTCGACGAGGCCGTCGAATTCCCCGTGGAAACACGGCGCGCGCTCACTCCTTACCTGAAGACGCTCTCGTCGTAGGAAAGCAGAATGCGGACTGGCTGACTGATGCTACGTTTCTTCACTTCGTGCGCCGGCTCGATGTGCACACCGTGGATTATCTGAAAGACGAAGGCCGGAATCTCATTAGGCTTTTTCACGCGCGAAATTTACCGCGCGTGAGTCACAACGCGCGACTGCTCGTTGTTTCGCGGGTAGGCACAAATTAATAACAGATTAATTAATTAACGACTGGAGGGGCGCTCAGCTGTAAACGTGCGGGGCGAAATAACATCTAGACTGGTTAACACAGGTGCGGTCGGGACACCGTTTCTATAAGTACCGCTAACGTTGTCACCGGCGCGACGCTAAGTGCACCATTATCTTTGAAATTAGACGACAATGTTATACAAGCGGCGTATCAACCATCCGGAAAATCATCCCGGCGTGTCGGCCGATGAGGAAGCTACCTTTACGAATTCGAATTACATTTTACAAATCGGATTTCCAACGATCCTGACCGCGGTATCGTCGCAATTCTACCTCCTATTATCGCCGATTTCTCTCTCGGACGAAATATATTCATCGGAGAGAAAGAGACATTTTTTCCGCCGTGTCGGCGAGATTTCAATTTAATTTCCCCGTCGGTCATTTCCCGCGGGGGAAGCGCCGGGGTATTCCCCTTCCTTCGTCCCTTCTCCCGCGTTTGCCGCGAAATGTAAATGTCTGAAGACGACGACAGCTGCGCGCTCGAAACTCCGGTATTCAATATAGGTATAAGGGTGGCGGTCGTGAATGCTCGCGCTAAAGTCTATTCCGCGCGATAATTGGTCGTCGAAAGTTGAGCTCGTTACCAACGGATCTTAATAGAAGACGCGCTAACAACGTTGAATCGCGGCCCGGTATTATGATGCCAGCGGTGCGTGAACCTGATACGCCCTTCGACTCCGGGCTGCGAATTCTAACGGCGGCTGCAATCTCGCGGCGCTCGTAGAAATAGCAGCTTGCGGCGCAGGAAGGCCGCAGCCGCGCGCGCGTTTACAGAGGTTAGAAGAGGGAAGAGACAGGTGCATAAACTAGATATAAGTTTCGGTTAACTTCAACAACGCCGGGGCTCCAGTTGGAAGTTATGAGCGATAGAGTCGCGCCGCCGAACGGCGGATAATGGATAGACCGGCGCGAGTTTGAACAACACGCCGACGTCGCTCCGCGGCGAAGCGGGCTGTGCGACGCGACGAGGTGAGAAAATGCAACCGTCTCGTCGTCCCTTTCGCGGAAAACCCTCCCCTCGGCCTGTGCAAGAACGCAGAGAAAAACTTCCCTCGGACATGCCGATTAAATGGCACATCCGATTGTTATTTTTGTTATCCGATGCAGTCACCGATGAAACCAAATCGGAAAATCAGCCGCCTCTCGTATATCCGTTTATTATTTTTTAATTCGATCCTATCCGATCATGATCGGGCATTTTTTTCAGTGTGTACACCCGGCTAATACCGGCTAATCTCTCTCTCTCTCTCTCTCTCTCTTTCTCTCTTTCTCGTTTTGATCCAAAGCCCTCCAAAGCTCTCGCTCAACCTCGAAACATCTCGCGGCCTCGTGTTTATCAAACTAAAGGGGATTCCATCCTCCGTAACTTACTCGGACATCAATGGTACGTCCGCTCGCTGGATGGAGGAGATCTTTCAGGGGGTGTATTGAAATTAATGGACGGCAGTTTACACGACGGGGCTGATCTAATTCGCGATCCGGTACAGGACGATTAGCGCCGGACGAACGGAGTTACCGGCTTGATACATCGATCTAACTTTAATAATCACTGGCGCAGCCAGCGAATTCCGCCACTTTGTAATGAGTTTTCGCCGCAAGGAGGATTCGGTCGGCGGACAGGCCCGACACTTCGTTTAACGGAGCCCCGTTGTAATCGAGGAAGGTCCACCCGTCGCGTCGGCCCGCAATAGGCGTGCTTGTTAGAAATGCAATTATGCGAAGATCCACGTTAAGTTTTAATCCGATCCACTTTTATACTTGCGGAGAGTTTGCGTCCCGCGCGCGGAAAGCTTCTTAGTGATAATGCGATATCTTAAGAGGATAGGAGCGGCATTAACTGCGCGAGAGCTAAGGAGCGCGCGGCGGAGGACCACGAAAGAGAGAGAGAGAGAGAGAGAGAGCGGATCGAAGGTCGAAGTGCACACCGGCGCGCCACAAGATATCACGTATATAGAAGATAACGGCTAAACCACTCCGTCGTAACTTACAAACCACTCTAGCGAATAGTGCTCTCTTAATTATCAAACTTCAGCCCGCTCCTAATTTCCATCCTTATATCCGTGGTCTATCCGGTAACACGGGGAGACGCGCGCGTACCAACGGACATCTCTTAACCGGCGCGGCATCCTCCCGCTTAGATTTTATAACGGCAGACTCTCCACCGAAACGCTCTCTCGGGTTATCGCGTGTCACCGCCTCTCTCGCTTGAATTCCTGATGAAATTCTGCCGTTAAAGGCGAAAGGAGCCACTCCCGTAGCGAAACATTCGTCAAAGGGACGCGCGTCGCTCTTTGAAGTATCAATTATAAATTATGAGCCGGCCGCGCGATTACGCGATTACGATTCGGTCGTTTATCGTGGCGTAATATGATTACACGATTAGGAATAATGACATCGCGCCGATAAGTGGATCGGACCAATAGGGCGGGCAATCGACGAGACATTAGTCGCGCGAGTCTATCGCGTCATCGCATAGACGGGGATACACCACACGCTGCGCTTAATGCGGATAACGCGTATAGGAAAATCCGATACGTGTACTTGGCGTAACAATGTAACACCTAATCCCTAATCCAATCCGTTCGGGAACTAATGGCGAGGAAATGGAGATGGCCGGAAAGGCGGAAAGCAAGAGAGCCACTCGACGGATCCGCGAATACCACCGTCGGCGAATCGACTTCATCCATCTTGGCTATTGACCTTAATTCGACAACGGCCAGGACAGCCGTCGTTAAGATGATTTCCGCGGAGGGTCGATATTTTCCAGGGTCCTGCAAGCGAGTCGCACGGCACCCTCTTAGGCCGCGCTTCGCGTATGAGGATAGTAATAATAGAAGCAAACAGCGTGAGGAAGATATTACTGAGATGGTCACAGCTCCACGGTGGCCTGGAAAATATCGTTCCCCGGAATATCCGGGGGACGTCTGTGGGAAAACAACGTGGAAATTAGAGGGAAATGTAATGTACACATAGACCGCGACGTTTGCTAAGTAATATATTTTTGATTGGGTTGACAGCTATGAAATAACCGGTCGGTGTAACTTTTTTCATTTTCCAAACTTATCTGGGACATCGTACGACATCATAAATCATGATCTTGATAACACCGCTTTTTCGTCTTCCTTAATTTAAGATATTCGGTCTCTGTCAAAATATTTTCAGAGGAATTGAAAATTTTAGCATACCAATGGAAATATCTACACGTCTGTCAAGTTAGAAAGCGACTGACTATATAAAAACTGAGACAACTACGCAACTACGATTACATTTTATACGTATTTCTTGAGGTTAATCTTCCATTTCTAACTTCTACTTTTATTTTCTTCTAGACCACATTTAGGGTTTTCATAAAAATTACTGTAATATTAAATACTAGAGGCATTATATAAACATTTCAGAATTATTGGCTATTTTATTCTGAAAATATAACCGTCCCTCGAAACGTTCGATGAATTTAGTTCGATTTGATATATCGACATGTTCAAACTTGCTATAACTTTAAAGTAAGAAAATAACTATTTATGTCACTATAGTCGCTAATACAACGGCGTTAGACTCTTACTTGCTTTGTGATTAGCCTTGATTTGCATATTGATTGTATATCACAAGAGTCACGCATTTATTTATTCATTTTCCGCGACGTGGTGTTCTTTTTTCGCGAGAAGCAATCTTCCCGGGTAATCACCGGGAAAAATCGAAGAGTCGGCTGATACGAGATCGGAAACAGACACGCTTTCGCGTGCGTGCGAGGAATTACAAACAACACGGCACTTTTATTTGAAGCAAAAGCTCGCTCCTTCACTTTCGCCGTCTGACAAGCACACCATCGATATTCCCCTTCAGCGTCTTACGCGATAACATATTGATCGCGAATAGGGGCCGCTGAAAGGATTGGTCGCCCGTTTCTATAATTCACTTTGAAGGAAAAGGGTCCGGGGCTCCTGAAAAGACAGGAAACACCACCTATACATATTTATTCATTCCTCCAATTTCGCAGGCGACCGACGGGCGTCGCAGCCGCATTTCGTTATTTACATTTCGCGAATTAAATCATACAGCGGTCAGGGGGAAGAGGAGACGGAACGAAAGAAATCCGAGACGTTTTCGATATATTTCATTATTTTCACGACACGGTCGTAAATATAACCGCGCTCTGTGACGCGATATTTTAATAATAATAGTTAATTACGCGAGTTTACATTTCGCGGGAGGCAGCGAGCGAGATAAAAATGTCCAATGCACGTCCGTGCGCGCGTATCTCTTTTTCCGGACGAGAAAGTATCCCGATGCACTTCGATTTATCATACATCTGCGCGTCGAAATAGGGACCGGGAGGGAAGGGAAGGGGGGAGNCGTCTACCGTGATATACCCGTCTCTTTCCGGCCGCGGCGCATTTACACGCGGTGCGATGGAAATTTTGTGTTTCCTACACGCCTCCGCACTCCTGTAGCATTTTTACGCCCGTCCTGCTCCCGATGGGAACGTAAATAGCCTAACATCGAACGCTGGTCGTTCGCCGCCTTGAGGCTCAAAATTCCGGCACGTCGCATCGAACCGCCGGCCGAATGAATTGTTAACCGTCACCGTCCGCGACCACATCCATCCCACGATCCCAACATTTATTTTTTGTCGCTGTCGCTGTTCCTCCATTTTGACGCATCCACGTAATGCATAATTCAGTCCCGTGCACTCTGTCGTCTAATTTTTAAAGCCCTATTTTTCTATCTGAAATTTCATTATTCACATGCACCGTGCCGCGACAAACTCGCAACATCGCGGCGATGTAATAACGATAGTGGAAAAAAGAAAAGTACGCTGATAAAATATAAATTATAAACTTATGGACCCTAC